GTTTAACCAAGAACAAATGTGACCTTTGTAAGAATATTTACTTCCACCATGTTTTTGAATTTGACTTCAATATGTCCATGAGGCTGGAGGACTCTGTGTCAGTGCGCCATCTTGAAATACAGTGGTTGATAAGGGACAAAAGGAGTTTGACCGGTAGTTGGGGACCACTGTGCACCTTTAAAAGTGCACCTTTAAAAGCAGCAAAAGGGTTTAAAACTATATGTTATGATCATTCTGTGAAACTAAGGTATTTCTTTCTATACGTCTGTGTACATATCTTTTTTGCCCATCTGCTCTGTGAGTCAAAATAATAAATAAAATGCCACGGTTTGAAAATACATGAATCAAGCCTGCGTACGTGTTGGCAGTGGTGATGTTGTGACTTGACTTGAGTTTTAACATTAGGAGCACCGCTGCTATTTTGACTTGAAAACTGAAAATGATTCTATGTTTGGCAATGACAAACAAATAATAATTTTCAGTTTATAGTAAAGTTGAGTAAATAATTTTCCCCCTGCTGGTTTAGGGTATCGGTTATTATTATATTCCCAGTTTCAATGTAAAGGCATTAAAAAAACGAAATAAAAACACCTGAATTAACCTCAATAAATAATGAATATTGAACTGCTTACTACATAAACGCTCACTCCTAACCCGACGGCCTTAAAGCTGGTGTCCGTAACAGATAACAGATAACAGACATCTGTTAACAGATAACAACTGTTGTAATCTAGGGCTATACAAAAAAAAATGTAATTGAATTTTAAAAAGAGTGCCAATTTTGTTGTTGTTTCACGTAAAGTAAGTATTTTGTATATTTAATACAGCCCCTCTTCTTTGCATAACCACTACTTATAAGCTTTGCTGGCGGAGAATAGTTGGACCAATTGTGTATCAAGAATTTGAATGAATTCCGTCCAATCAGGAAGCAGTGGGGGTGACAATGGGCGGGTCTAACAAACATTCAAGTAAAAAATTGTTAAGCAGTAATTGAGTCTTTCTTCATTCTTTAGTCAAGGTTGTGAATTAGTAGTACATAATCTTACACAGATTTAACAGTTTTGTGAAGCTCCTACATATAATCCCTTTCATATTTACAAAAAACATCATTTGTACCATTGATATTTTCACAGCTTTGAGTGACGCCGTTGCTCCAGTAACGGTTGGATTTTGTACAAATCAAACAAAAGTCTTCACATTCCCTCTGCCTTTGCTCTGTGCGCTATCGCAGTCCAGCTGGTTTCGCCCGTACAAATCTTACACGGACTTTCATCCTTATTTGTCATAAAAAATAATCTTATTTTACAGTCGCTGCCTGCTGTGAAAATGAAAACCTGTAGAAAGTGTTTGGAATAATGAAACGTTGCTGATCCGTTTGCATATTAGGCTGAGTGTAGTGGTTTTTAGCTGCGAAGTGCCATCGGTGGTGAGGAAACGGACAAAGAGCCACTGCTTAGGGCTGGATTTAACCCTTTAGGCGCCAGCGTTTTTGGATTGTGAAATAGACAAAAAGGTGAGACCCTGCATCTTCATAAGAGATAGAGGACGACTTCCATCAAAAATGGAAATACATAGAAAAAAAGGTTAAAAAACTAATAATAAAAAATAGACGGTTTTGTGGGAAGCAAAGTCGCTGTATGGAAATTGTCCTGGATTTAGTAGCAATTCTGCTACTTTGGCGCTTAAAGGGTTAAAAATGGAATAAACATCTGAATGATCACAATTTGCGAAGAGTTTGAAGTAGTTTGCAAACAATATTTTCCTTTTCTTTGGGTTTGTAAATGCATGGGGTTATTCTAGTATTTCAGTCAAATGCTTATTAACAAATCTAAAGTCAGTATATCCATTATAAGACTTGAAAAATAATCTATTTTTTTATAAGGACGTCTTTACTGTACTTACTTTGTGCGTTGTACTGTTGAATATTTACTAGTTTGAAGACATTTCGCATCAGAATAAACATCACCTTGAATCTAGACAATACATTTTCCATTGGGAAAAGTTCTGTCTTTTTTACCGCTATGGCGAGAAAAATAGAAAATGATCAGAAACATCTTGAAACAAATAAAAAATTGCTCAGTCAAGGAAATTTGATAAAGTTGTGAATATGTTGTAAGTATCGACACATGGTGAATGCTGTTAAATATTGCTTATGTATATATCCATTTGTGTGTATTTGTGTATTATATGTACTGTGATACATCTCTGCTTGAATGAATGAGAACGAGAAAAGTTCGAAAAGTCCTCCTAAAATGCTAATCAAACTGTTTTTTGTCATCAAATTAGCAGTTGAAATATTTGCATTGGACATAATTTGCTTACTTGCACATGACCCATAATGCATTTCTACCTGGAAGGGTAGCAAGCTGTATACTGAACTGAGCAGGCTGCAGCTAGTGCAATACATGGCTGCATGAATGTTGACCAGGACAAGGCAACAGGAGCACATCACTCCTGTCCTGACGACCCTGGACTGATTGCCTGTGGCTTTTAGAATTTAATTTAAGATGTTAACGTTGGTCTCTTCATATCCAAGCACCTTCAGAGAAGACAGAGCGCTTTCTGTGACCTCTGGATTTAACTCCACCTGATTTCAATTGTTATGAACATCTTGAAACGAGACATTTTTTGATATTTTTTACAGGTGTGTTTATTGTTTGAAGCGATTTGAAAGCAGTAAACCTGTATTTATATTTGCTATACAAATAAAGTTGACCTTGACTTCCACACTGCTCGCATATTTTTCAGTTGGAGTAGAGGTTTTCCTTAGAGGGATCTTGTGAAGTTGTGGTTCGGGATAAACAAAGACAAAGGGATGTATAACTTTGTGACAGTTTTTGTTTCATGTGGATTGGCCCAGGAACCAGACATTGGCAAAAATCTCACTACATTTCTCACTTTAGACTGTTACCATAGTTACTACAAAATATTTTTCAGCTTCCCTCTACAACAATGTCACACAAACACAACCTATTGCAGTCTTTGTTGCTACCCTTCAAGGTGCAAAGCATTATGGTATTGCACAAGTCGTGAATGTCATGTGTCGAGTCCCAGAGTTTGATGCCTCCAATATTAACCACACCCAAGAGCCCAAAGTTAGGCCTCTCTAGAAGACGATTGCAACAAGGGTGTCTTTGTAAGTCTGCGTAGCGGAGCAGATTCATTGCATAATCCAACAGAATTGCTCACTTTGGTTAAAGCATGAGATATGGTCCACTGTTTGGGAAACAGAGATGTTCTCAAAGACACAGTTGGCCAAACATAAACTCTGCTCAAAACATGCTGAATACAATCTTTGCACCGATATGAGCAAAATATTCCATTTTGCAGCCTGTGTGTTCTACAATGTACCACTAGGGGTGCAAGGAATCCTTTAAATTAACGTTTTGGTCCACAATCTTATGGTTGTCAGGTTACTGATTGACCCACAAACACACAGGATGCCCTTTATCAAAATTAAGTGGCCAAAACTGCAATTATTGTTTTTGTTTTTTTTTTACAAAATAGTGGAGCTTTCAGAGTACCTGTGCCAAATGTCATGCTTTCATCACAAAGTCAAAAGTGTTTCTAATAATCTGCTGCAGTATTCATTCATTACACTACTTTGTTTAATGCTGCATCCGTTTGGAGCTACTTGTCCGGGGTGCAGAGACCCCTGATATACGCTGAATGTTACATGTTGACAATGTTTTCTGAATTATTCCAATTGTGGAGATTAGAATTTGCCTTAAAATTGTGTTAAATCTTAATGAAACTTGTTGTCAAACATGCTTGCTACTTCTGGGCCAAAAAAAGTCTGTCAATACTGGGCACAAATGCTTAACGAATGAACTCTCATTACATAAAGATGTGTTCACCCGCTGTGGAATGATTGGGAATTACTATTGATCTTGGTAATAGTAATACCAGGATCAATAGTAATTGCATAATAATAAAACAATTCCAACACATTTTTATCCTGTTCCTGTGGGCTACAATCAGCTGGCTCAACTTCTGTGAAATGGTTGTATATTTTATGTATGTTATGAAATTGACTTTTTTTTTGTTTTTAAACAGTTTTTCACTTTTCTCAACTAAGCAAGCATTTTTTTTTTTCAGATTAAGCTCATTTTAAGCTCTTATCCACCTGTATATTGTTATAAAAATACAATTTGAATGCACCGTAATGAGAATAGAATAGAGAATGACGGAAACAGCCTGGTCCTGGAGCGAACCTTCACCTCGCCGTATGCTTTCTATATATGACTCAGCGCGGAGGCTACTTAGCAATGCCCTTATAAAAATAGACAACTAAAAGACAGCTACATACTCCCCAAAAATACACAATATGCAAGAATACATCTTTCACATTTGAGTGGAGTAAACACTGCATAGATGACTGCATCACGATCACGGATGGGTTTTCTCATATAGCGTCATAAATAGGACTTAACTATAGTAGTCCTTTTTGTTTGCCAGTGCACTGTCAAGGGAAAAGAAACACAAGATTACATTAAAAAATATTCTAAAAAAATAAGACATGAAAACATAAATAAAAGTAGCAGCATGAGGGAATGTTAAGCAAATCAAAGTGCAAGGTTTAAACCATAGACACAGTGGGAAGCAGTATCAGCCGAGCACAAAGTGCACCTAGGCAGTTCTTTGAGCAATCATTGTCTGATATAAAGGAACTCAAACAAATAAAAGGCTGTGACTCTGATGTGTGCTGTTGGCTTGTATTACGAGTCTCTAAACGCTGCTTGTCTATCAGATCCACGATTTAAACAGAATAATCAAAATTATAATAAGGCAAAGTAAGGCTCAGCTAAATTGACTTGTAAAAAGGAATTTCTGGTTGTTCTTTTGAACTTCCACACAGAAATATGATTGTTCATGTACAGTAACAAAGACAACTTAACACCCAACACCGTTATTCCTCCCACTCAGTAGTCCCTCCTAACCCTGACCTTAACCCTAACCTTAACTCTAACCCTGATCCTAACCCTGACCCTAACCCTGCCCTATCCCCCCCAGTACCACTTGTCCAGGTTATTGACAGCCTTGTACTCCTTGTGCCGGCGCAGGTAGTCACAGGCCAGGCACGTGTGCTCAGCCCAGAAATATGCCTTCTTCACTTTAAAGTGATGTCGCCAGTCAAAGTACCTTAGGTACATCTCCTCATTCTTGTCCAGCAGCAGCAGGTAGTCTGCTAGCTCTTTGGGTGAGCTGAAGTCATCCACATGGATGAAGGCGTCTCCCTGGATGAAGTTTTCATAGTTCTGTCTGGGGGGTCCCAGCACCACAGGCACTGTGCCCACGGACAGGGGGTTGTACAGCTTCTCTGTGATGTAGTCCTTATGGATGGAATTCTCAAAGGACAGGTAGAACTTACAGCTGGCCATGGTGGGGAAGTAGTCCTGGTCAGAGATGTACTCTCCGAAGGCCTGTCCGTAGGCATGCACCTCGATGTGCTTGTACAGCTCGTTGTAATATTTGACCCGCACATGGTCCTGGTTCCAGTTGCTGACAATCCAGCAGATGAGTTTGTTCTTACTGGGAGGCACAAATTCCTCCTCCCCTTCAGCCGCCACAATGGACCCATAAGGCACTTGGATGTCGGCGTCCTGCCGGTAGTTCAGAGTCAGGTTGAACAGGTTCTCAATTCCCGGCAGCTGGGACGAATGTGACGGGGACTCCAGGTTCATCCAGATCCACTTCTGGAAGGACGGCCTCTGCATCGGGGGCAAGTTGGATAGGTCTGTGCCAATGTCGCGGTGGTGGATGACCACTCCATCTGACTTATTGTACAAGTTCCGATCAGCAGTGATGAGACAGCCCTCGATGCTGAAGAGGGAGCTGCAAGCACCCAGGTCATAGGTCTGTCCGAAGGGCCAGAGCCACACCAGCACTGTGGTCACATTCTTGTCACTGCGTGTGGACAGCAGGCCCTTCACCCGCTCGGTGGACACGGTGGACTCCACTGGACCTGACAGCCAGCTGGTGGCGGGCTTAAAATACATCAAAAACAGAGTAACAAAGCATCCCAGGACAAACGTGCCGATCAGGAGGGGTCTGAGGATCTTGTGGAAGGGTGCAGAGGACATACTCTGGTCTGGAAACACAATGAGAGGGTCATCAAATACACAAAGCCACATTCAGTTAAACACAATCAAATCAGTGGATGCAATACGGCAGCCTGCAGATAATGGTGCAGCTGCTCCTGCAGCCGCCTGAGCCACTGGGCAGACACTGTGTGATTTTCGGGCGCGATTTTTGCCATGTCTCTTTGACTCACCATTTTAAGATCACGTTGAAAGTTCTTTATGTGTCTGAATTGAACAATGAGTGGGGGGTTAAGAGGCACAGTTGGCACCTCACAAAAATCTTGCGACTGCTGTACACCTGAAGATGTTTGTTGTGAGTTATAAGCTAAGAGCCCTGCAGAAGTCGTGCATATACAGTAAAATACAGCTGCAGAGGACATCGCGCTGAGGGGCTGCGGCAAAGCCCATGGGAAGACCACAATACGTCCTCTGGGCTCATCTTTTTTGGACACACACACACACACACACCTCATCTGCTATTCCACTGGCTCAAAGTCAACAGGCTCTCATCCCACACATCTGAAACATCACGGTGTAACAAAAGCCTCACTGTTAGGACTAGAACATGCATAATACTGTCCGCAGGCAGCTATTTACACTGGTAACAAAATGAAAACGTTGTTGTCTCAGCCCACTGGTGCCAGTCCAGATGGTCTACTTTGAATGTTGGAAATATGTCAACTTTTGAGAGAGAAAGAAAGAAAAGTGACTTAATCACAACTTCCTTCTGAAGTCTAGATGATGTGTTATTCCACTAATCGTCTGGTCTTTACACAGACTGTGAAATGATTGTTGGAGCTTTTATGTATTTGGCCAGTAAAAATGAATAGAACCAATACGTTATTTTGTATTAAAAGTACAATCAATCAAAAATGTTGGATCTCTTGCTTCTTCCCCAGGATGTTTCCGTGTGTACAGACCTGGAGGATGGGACAGCTGTGTGGAATCCAAAAGCCTGGAGCGGGGTTCTACATGGGACCCTGGGCGGGATGGCTCTTCCCTGTGCCACGGTGCTCATAGGGGGGACATCGAGGCAGGTGCTGGGGTCTCTCTGGACTGGAGGAGCTAAAGCAGAACACCTGATCTCCACTGGACGGGTCGCCTTTGCAGTGCCTCCTGTTTGAGCAGAGGAAAGAAAATCATTTCAATCTGTGGAGGTAACTGAATTAGGTGCTGAAATATAATAATAGTAAATATAAGCTGTACCCATTTGAAATTCTACAATTCAAAAAACGTATATTTTTAGTAAAAACAATTACACCATGTATACAGATTTTATTTTACTTTCCGACTATTTTTACTACTTCTATTTGAACATGGACTTGTTTAAAGTGAAACAGGCATATCAAAAGTCTCATCTACCGTGGTGGACATATAGATGCACCGATACCAATACTGGTTTTGGGCATCAGGGCTAATACCGGGTCCAGTACTTGTACTCACCTACACAGCCCCGATACCAGCTGTACCCTCAAGTCTAAAGTGAAGCAGAGTGAAGAGAGCACACAACTCATATCTGTTACAGCTTCATAAACCTCAACTTGCATCTTAGACATAATCGCAGCTATTCTCTTCAAAGACATTCTCCCCTTAATAATACAGCACATCCTAGATATAATAAATACATCAATATTAAGTGGCTGTGTCCCACAAGCTTTTAGAACCGCAATAATGAAACCTCTTCTGAAAAAAACAAGTGTGAGTGTTGGTCCTAATCAACCTCAGTGCTGCATTTGACAAAAGAGACCACAGCATTCTACTGCAGAGGCTAGAATATGTCTCAGAGGAACAGCACTTGGCTGGTTAAATAATCTTTATCGGATTGGCCTGCATAAACCTAAAACCATGGATGCCCCTGAACTATCTGATCTTGAACCTGAAAAAAATGACCTCCTCGCTAATCACGGACCCAATACGAGCTGTAGATACCAGCTGTAGATACCAGCTGTAAAACCAGCTGTACCCTCAAAGAGACCAAAGTGATGCAGAATGAGGACAGCGCACAACTCAGCCTCAAAAACCACATCCTGCATTTTAGACCCAATCTCAGCTAGGCTTTTCAAAGACACTCTACCCTTAATAATAGACACTATCTTCAATACTATAAATGGTACAATGGCTGAAGCCATTGTGAGTGGCTGCATAGATGTTGGAAGGGTTGGTGATGAAGAAGGAAGAGGAAGGGGAAGAAGAAGGAAGAAGAAAGAAAAGGGAAGAAGAGAAAAGAAGAAGAAGGAAGAGGAGGAGGAAGAAGAAGAAGGGGAAGAAGAAGGGGAAGAAGAGGAAGAAGGGGAAGAAGAGGAAGAGGGGAAGAAGAGGAAGAAGAGGAAGAAGGGGAAGAAGAGGAAGAAGTGAAGAAGATGAAGTAAGAAGAATGTGTTGTAAGGGGCTGAAAGTGTTGTAAAGTGCTGAATGTGTTGTAAGGTGTTGTAAAGTGCTAAATGTGTTGTAAAGTGCTGAATGTGTTGTAAAGTGCTGAATGTGTTGTAAAGTGCTAAATGTGTTGTAAAGTGCTGAATGTGTATTAAAGTGCTAAATGTGTTGTAAAGTGCTAAATGTGTTGTAAGGTGTTGAATTTGTTGTAAAGTGCTAAATGTGTTGTAAGGTATTGAATGTTTTGTAAAGTGCCAAATGTGTTGTAAGGTGTTGAATGTGTTGTAAAGTGCTAAATGTGTTGTAAGGTGTTGAATTTGTTGTAAAGTGCTAAATGTGTTGTAAGGTGTTGAATTTGTGTTAAAGTGCTAAATGTGTTGTAAGGTGTTGAATTTGTGTTAAAGTGCTAAATGTGTTGTAAGGTGTTGAATTTGTTGTAAGGTGTTGAATTTGTTGTAAAGTGCTAAATGTGTTGTAAGGTGTTGAATGTGTTGTAAAGTGCTAAATGTGTTGTAAGGTGTTGAATGTGTTGTAAAGTGCTAAATGTGTTGTAAGGTGTTGAATGTGTTGTAAGGTGTTGAATTTGTTGTAAGGTGCTGAATGTGTTGTAAGGTGTTGAATTTGTTGTAAGGTGCTAAATGTGTTGTAAAGTGCTGAATGTGTTGTAAAGTGCTACATGTGTTGTAAAGTGCTAAATGTGTTGAAAGGTGTTGAATTTGTTGTAAAGTGCTAAATGTGTTGTAAGGTGTTGAATGTGTTGTAAAGAATTTGCTAAATGTGTTGTAAGGTATTGAATTTGTTGTAAGGTGCTGAATGTGTAGTAAGGTGTTGAATTTGTTGTAAAGTGCTAAATTTGTTGAATTTTTGTTAAAGTGCTAAATGTGTTGTAAGGTGTTGAATGTGTTGTAAAGTGCTAAATGTGTTGTAAGATGTTGAATTTGTTGTAAGGTGCTAAATGTGTTGTAAGGTGTTGAATTTGTTGTAAGGTGTTGAATTTGTTGTAAAGTGCTAAATGTGTTGTAAGGTGTTGAATGTGTTGTAAAGTGCTAAATGTGTTGTAAGATGTTGAATGTGTTGTAAGGTGCTAAATGTGTTGTAAGGTGTTGAATTTGTTGTAAGGTGTTGAATGTGTTGTAAAGTGCTAAATGTGTTGTAAGGTGTTGAATGTGTTGTAAAGTGCTAAATGTGTTGTAAGGTGTTGAATGTGTTGTAAAGTGCTAAATGTGTTGTAAGGTGTTGAATTTGTTGTAAGGTGCTAAATGTGTTGTAAGGTGTTGAATGTGTTGTAAAGTGCTAAATGTGTTGTAAGGTGTTGAATGTGTTGTAAAGTGCTAAATGTGTTGTAAGGTGTTGAATGTGTTGTAAAGTGCTAAATGTGTTGTAAGGTGTTGAATTTGTTGTAAAGTGCTAAATGTGTTGTAAGGTGTTGAATGTGTTGTAAAGTGCTAAATGTGTTGTAAGGTGTTGAATTTGTTGTAAGGTGCTAAATGTGTTGTAAGGTGTTGAATTTGTTGTAAAGTGCTAAATGTGTTGTAAGGTGCTGTAAGTGTTGTAAGATGTGTAATGTATTGTATCTGTGGTGATGAATTGTTAGTGTGGTAATGTGTTGTATGGGGAGTAATCTGTTGTACTGGTCCAATGTAAGTCAATGGGAAAAAGTGCTTGAACTTTTGTTAATATCTGAAAAAGTGCTAAAGGTGGAAGTGTGAAAAGTAATAGCAATAATGAGACGGTGAAGCCGGTCGTAACGATGTATAATTTGTTGAATTTGGTGAAAGCGTTGAAGAGTTGAAAAGTGCCAAAATCTGGCGGAAGTGGAAGAAGAAGAAGAAGAAGAAGAACTAGAAATGGTACAATGGCTGAAGCCATTGTGAGTGGCTGCATAGATGTTGGAAGGGCTAGGGATGAAGAAGGAAGAGGAAGGGGAAGAAGAAGAAAGAATAAGAAAGAAAAGGGAAGAAGAGGAAAGAAGAAGAAGGGGAAGAAGGGGAATAAGAAGAAGAGGAAGAAGGGGAAGAAGGGGAAGAAGAGGAAGAAGGGGAAGAAGGGGAAGAACAGGAAGAAGGGGAAGAAGAGGAAAAAGGGGAAGAAGAGGAAGAAGGGGAAGAAGAGGAAGAAGGGGAAGAAGGGAAAGAAGAGGAAGAAGGGGAAGAAGAGGAAGAAGTGAAGAAGAAGTAAGAAGAATTCGTTGTAAGGGACTGAAAGTGTTGTAAAGTGCTAAATGTGTTGAATGTGTTGTAAAGTGCTAAATGTGTTGTAAGGTGTTGAATTTGTTGTAAAGTGCTAAATGAGTTGTAAGGTGTTGAATTTGTTGTAAAGTGCTAAATGAGTTGTAAGGTGTTGAATGTGTTGTAAAGTGCTAAGTGTGTTGTAAGGTGTTGAATTTGTTGTAAGGTGCTAAATGTGTTTTAATGTGTTGTAAGTGTTGTAAGATGTTGTAATGTATATATATAAAGTCAATGGGAAAAAGTGCTTGAACTTTTGTTAATATCTGAAAAAGTGCTAAAGGTGGAAGTGTGAAAAGTAATAGCAATAATGAGACGGTGAAGCCGGTCGTAACGATGTATAATTTGTTGAATTTGGTGAAAGCGTTGAAGAGTTGAAAAGTGACAAAATCTGGCGGAAGTGGAAGAAGAAGAAGAAGAATAAACAGTAGGAGAGCATATAGTGGCTGCATAGTCTATGCAGCCACTTAATAATAAAACAAATCTATAAAAATTCAGACAGGAAGACAGGAGAACTAAGCCCCAGCGCTCAAAGTCCACCTGCTGGTGCCCAGAGCAACATCAATCAATCACACTCAGCTGCAGCGCCTCACACAAAGCCTCACCTGCAGTAATCAGGCACTGCTTGCAACAGAAGCTCCATCCAAGCAGCAGCTTTATTCACGCCGCAACCCTCCTCCTCCCCATCTCCGCCTGGTTCTAAGCCAGCTCCTTCATCCCCTAGCTACCACTACCAGGCTCTTGGCCTTGGTGGATTCCATCTCATAATCTCTTTCCTCATCTGCAATCATGCAGTGCTCTACCGGGGTCTAAGGCCAATAACTACATTCTGTAGAGCACAATACATGAAATCTTATGTCTCATTGTCCTCACTGTCATGTATGTGTGTTTTTGCCAAACAACAATACAATTGTATTGTTTTGTCTGTTCGAGTCTCTCCAGATTTCAGTGGCGATGTCCCACCAGCTTTCAGAACCGCAGTAATCAAACCTTTTTGAAAAAACAAATGTCGACACTGAATTGATAACAAATTACAGACCATTTTTAAATCTTCCTTTTGAATCTAAAATACTAAACAACTATGCCGCCACAAATAACTATTATCTGCTGATCTTATGTAATCTTACTTGGATCCAAACCTCTGCATGACTCCCTCGCTAATCAGATGATCACACTTGATAATGTTAGTGTGACCCCTTGTAACACTGTAAAGAATCTTGGAGTCGTCATTGACCAAGATCTCTCCTTCTGAGCACATATTAGTCAAGCAACTAAGCAGCATATTTCCACCTGCCCAACATCGCTACAGTTATATATATCCTTCCTGAGAGTGATGCAGAACACTGATCTATGCATTTGCCACTGGACACTGGAGCACCCAGAGGAAACCTTCGCAGACACGGGAAGAACATGCAAACTCCACACAGAAAGGTCTGGAGGTGGAATCAAACCCAGGACCTTCTTGCTGTGAGGCCCAAGTGCAACCACTGTGCCATTGTGCTGCCCAAGATCGCTGTTTGGATATGACTTGTTGGAACAACCTGTTAATGTCATTCAGGGTGAGAATGTTAATATTGTTGGTTGCCTCGCTTCTGTCAGTGGGCCCCAGGGCAGCTGTGGCTCCAATATAAGTTTATCAACACCGTTATTAGTATTAATAAATAACTATCAATTGTTAATAATCAAATTCATGTAAAACATAAATGACCCGAACTTGTGGCCCGCACTCCCGTCCCCGCCTGTGAGCAGCCTCAGTCCTGCACCACGTGGCCTCGGTCTACAGCCTGAGTCCTGGATCTATAGCCCATCCCTCCTCGATGTGGGCCTCCCCAAGGTTATTCATTTCTTCCCTACTGGATTTGTTGAGACATTTATTAACATTTACAGACATTGCTCTTCTACCTCTTATGGACCAATGACTCCTATGTTATTTTATCATTTCATTTTGTGTATTTAAACTGTTTGATTCTACGTTATCGGTTAGCGAATCAACAACTTTGTGAAGTCCTCCGAGATAACTGCTTTTGTGATTTAGGGATTTACAAGAGTGGAACTGCCTAAACTGTACTTTCCTACTTGCAGGGTTGACATATAGTGCAGCCCACAAAGGAGCGAGTTGCAGTTATCGAGGCGGGAGAACATGAGGGTATTGCCTTTTTGCATGAGAAGGTTTTTAATCTTTGCAGCAACGGTGCAGAGGTAAAAGAAACAGGATTGGGCGGTTTGTTTGACATGGTTGCAGAAGGTGAGATGGGTCAAAGATGACTCCGAGGTTACGAAAAGATTGAGGTAATGTTTGCTTGAGGGTCGAGGTGGGAGCTGGTTGATGAGGAGGTGTAACCATGCCCCCCAGCGTGCTCTCTTCTGCTTCACTTTTCAAATGAGATAAAAACCGTGGATTAAAGGCACATTTATAATTGTGTTCATTTGACAAATCTTGTTAGGACAATCATGTTCAACTGATTTATTCGAGCTCCGCACAAGCCTGTAGTTTAACTGAAGCTCCATCCGTGGCAAATGCATGAAGGATTCAAATGCCATCTGCCTGTAAAGCGGATCTCTCCGTCAACGTGGGCCTACCCGAGGTTTCTCACTATTTTCACTGGGTTTTTATGAGTTTCTTGCTGATGCAGGAGGATCTAAGGACAGTGGTGTTGATCCAGGACATTTAAGGACATTTATGAACATTTATTAACATTTATAGAGATGGGACTATTGTGATTTAGGGCTATACCTGTGGAGATATGACACTATTTTAACAAGATCACACCTAACACTCAACTGTTTAGACCATCGCTAAAGAGTGTCTCAGCGAAGCCGCCGCCTCCAACAGCACAACACCAATACGCTATACGCTCCGGACGCTGTCAGGTCAAAGACTGAAAAAAATAGAAGACGAGATGCTCCCATTTCTACTGTAGAGCCACCGTCTTTCAGAAACATTTTTACACAGAATACCAACTGTGAATGGATTGGTAATGTAATGTAATGTAATGTAATGTAGCTAATTACATTTTCTAAGTAACTTACCCAACACTGTCTGTGACTATTGAGGAACAATGCTGTAACATGGCTACAAGCTCAACATTGATCTTAAAAAAGAAGTGTCCTTATATGAAAATGTGTTATTTATGTTCTCAGACATTATTCAGAAATCCAGACAGTAGACGGCGATAGATTGTTGTAGAAATCTAACTGGGATTATCAATCAATTTAACTTAAGAATGACTCTAATGAGGAATCATGCACTCTCTGGGACAAAGGTTAATCTAACAATCTATTGTTTTTGTCCAAGCGCGAGGCCAGGGACGGGAGAGGGAGAGATGCTAGCCTGGTATCTGGTCCAAGGAGCACGGTACCCTGGTCATGCTGATTTCTCTTCTAATATCAGAGTAGTATCAGAGTAAGACGTCAGGAGAGAAGAGGGTTTGAGCGATAGTTACCACCTAATCTCGGACTAAGAGACGCCAATTGATACTCTTTTGTTTGTAACATCCTATAAATACGGGAGAGAGTGAGCACTAGTCCGCAGATCTACTCAAGACCTGCCACGCGGTTGACGGTTGTATTTCTTGTATATGTCACATTTAGATAATAAACCACACTTTGATTGTTTTACAGCTCTTGGTTGTTTATTTTATATTTCATTACTCTCCAGAAAAAATCCACAACAATACAAACTTAGAACATGCAAACCTCTGCAGGTATCAGACCCTGGGGCAGATGAGGTAAACATGATTGTTCCTCTGCACACTGATCATTCTTGTCTGTTGAAATGTTGTAGATTCAAACATAAGATGCATAACCAAATACCAGTGTCATGTTCTCTGGAAATAATATACTCGTTTTGCAAAGAAATCCAACCAGCTGAACCTTTTGTTTCTTAACGTAGTCCTTTGTTGTACTTACACCCAATGTACATCAACAACAGCCGAACACAGAGACCCTACGTCCTTCCAACACCTCCTGTTTATATATAATGTGCTGTTTCCACGGAGATGCTGTGACAGTAATACAATACACCATTTTCTATAGTTGTGTAGACGCTGTGCACTTCCAATACGGAGCATGGTCGTTTTTGAAAATTGCTTTGCAGCGTCTCTGTCTGAACAGGGCCCTATTGGTCGGATCACAGACTGCTTTCAGCATTTTATTAAAGGAAAGTAACATGAACTGTGTCTGTATTGAATTCATCTAAATATTTGTAGACTGAGAAACAAGTTAATGGACATTCCAACCATTTTATCCGAAATCAACCTAAATATTAAAGCTACTATAGAAACACATTGGGAATCCTCCTTTGACAATTCTTCATGACTTATTCCAGGATATGGCATAATATAACTGGTGGGGTTTCAATTGTTTAATATAAAATAGGTTTTATGGCTTTTATGGCTTTGGACTGTACCTCTTTTTATTTTTGTATTACTATTAAACTCTACTTTAACTACTACTACTTTAATCTCAAGAACAAAACATCTTTGCTCAGTATCAATATTTTAAGCCTCGGCGTCATTAATATCTGAAGTGATTGCGTCTCTGTTCTGATGCACACTGGTATCGTATAACACGTCATCTTTTGTTCTATCTGGAAGAACTCAAAAAAAAAAAAAAAAAAAACCGGGATACAAGTGCGAGATCACTGCCTCCGTCTCCTTTTTCAACACCTCCGAGTCCATTTCTGGGTCATGGGGACAAACATGATTGTTTCTCTGCTCACTGATGCCCTGAGCCCAGACAGAACTCGGAGGTTCTGCTCTGATGACACACGTCCTACTGTAGGAGGTGAACGAGGCGGGCCATTTTAAGAGAGGAATTTGTATTATGCATGTGTTAAATAGTAAGCTATCTGAGTAAGCTGTCTTAAATATAGACATTGGGTTACTCTTTGATAAAGAAACCTATCAAAACAAAATTAACCTTGCATTTGCCAGTTTTATGT